AAATCTATTCAATGAGTCAAAGAACCAGGAGAATTGAAGGGTATCGTTTCGACCCCAAAACGGTGTGGTTGGAAATGGTGTCCGTCTCAGCCCCGTCTCAGGTCCGTCTCAGGGCTCGTCTCCACCACGACGGCTCCGCGCGCGACGGCTCAACGGCCCGCCGTTCGCGGTGGTTCCGGCTGCGGTCGAGCAGCTGGACGGAGTTCATGGCCAGACGGGACGGGGCTGGTCAGGCAGGTCGTTGCCGGGTGCCGGGTGCAAGTATTATATATATATATATTATATAGAATTATATATATATATATTTATTTATATCAAGTACTTGGGTAAAGTCCCTTTTCATCATGCAAAAATGATCCCAGGATCACATCGATACATCGATCCACATCTGCTCCTGTGGGTCGGGTGGTGTGTGGAGACACAGCCTGATGAAGCCGATTTCGTGAGGGTCCCACCTTCGAGAAGGATGTTCTTGGATCCCTATAGGCCTTAGGGTTGAGAGACTAGACATGTCAGGCTTTCTGTGGAGGGTGCAACTCGTGGTCTATTAGCAGGGGGTTCTGGTGATGCTGAGACTGAGAATGTAGAAGAATTGCTTGGTGCAAGGACAGGTACCTGTCAATAGGCGGTTCACTCGAATTGTAGAATCACTGAGGTGTTCAGCGTCTGGCAGAGCTTTGAACAAAGCTCCAGACCATCCATGCCATCCATGTGTACTTTTACTAAGTTTACATATGTTTTACCTCATTATCCAAATAGCCCAGATCTATCAGTATTTATATTATAATATAATCCAGTTGCAACTTCTGAGTGGGCCACATCGAGTAGACGCTGCGGATGATGAGCAAATCACAACATGTGGATCTTCAACCACTGCCCCAAGATGTCCAAAGCATTACCATACATGCCACTTGCCGGAGATATTCCCCATAGGCTCCCAAAGCATTCAGAGAATGTACTGATACACTGGTACACACAAAAGAAAACATAACACATCCGGCCGATGGCCCAAGTCTTCGTCCAGTCTCTCCGTCGTCTGGAGTCTTCGTGAAATGGACTCCCCCAACATCCGAGTCTCATTAGGTGTCATATGACATCGCGAGGAGATCCGGAGTTTTCCTGATCTTTCACCACATCGACTGCTCGCGTACTCTTCTCGCTGCTCGCGTGAGCTGCGCGCCCCAGCAACATCGCCCCCCAAGGTGTTCGGACGCCCACCTCCACGAGGGCTCTCACCGCACGGTCGCCCAGCTCATGATTCGCCAGGCTAATCTGACGCATGAACCTGGTGTGCGAGTGTGGCAGTGGGTGCATGGCAGTGCGGCCGCAGCGAAGAGTGTGGCAGTGGGCCTAGCCCCGGCCACCCTGGAGCAATCATAATCAAAACATCTGAGAACTACCCCAGAGAGGGAACCGGATGGATGAAAAGAGTCTGTTTGCTTTGGGTAGGTGTGCTTGGTCTGCGCTTGATGTGTGGGAGGTCGCAAGCGGTGAAAGATTGTCCATTTGCGGCAGCCTCATGAGTAGATTTCTGATGTTTCTTCTCTCTTGATTCAGGTTTGTGGCACTTTCCTTGCTCAGAACTAAGAGTATTTGTAAATGTGTTTGCTGTGTGTTTTCCAGAGGACATTGAAATATATGTTTTTCTTGCATCAAAGCTTGACTAGGGTTTAGGGCAAATCAGGTCAACGTATGGAGGTGGTGAACAGTGTGGCATTATGGCAGTAGGTGGCAGTGCCACACCATCTTTGTGACAGTTGCTCAGCAGTGTCTGTCACCAATGTGCCTAACATGATTTTATCTGTATTACAACGGTGTCATGACATCAATTAACGTAGAACCTTATAATATCGATTCGATTGTATGTAGTTTGTTTATGTGTGTAGTGTGCTTGAAAACTTGTGACTTCTCCTACTTTTACTCCATTTCCACTCTCATATACTCTAACCACCACGTCGCATGTGAGGTGGAAGTCACATGGAAGTCAGATGCTCGGCACACCACCCGAGTCGAGGGGTGGGACAACATTTCTGAGTCAAGTGAGGAGCCACCTGGGTCATTCCTCAGATATTGCATACAATGGCAGAAAAACCCATGACCAGTGACATCCAAGAGGTGCTTCACCGCTTTGGTCGTTTCAGGCTGCTCCAAGAGCTCCATCCATGCTTCAAACCCCCTCTACTTCCTTTTTAGGCCTTGCAGCCGGGCACATGGGTCAAGCGAGTGGCGCTTCGTCCCCCGTCTTCACCCAGTTCTTCACCCAGCCTTTTTGCTCAAAAAAGAACATGTCGTGCTGGGTCCAGATCGACTCAACAGGCATGGAAGATCAAACTCACTCAGAACTGGCCACTTGGTAGTGCAAACGTCGTGGGCGGGAAGCAGGGCGGGAGCTGGGCCTCCAAACCTCCACGTGGAGAGTGAGACCTTCGGTGTTGAAGCGATACCCAGGTAACCCATCTCCTCATCATGGACGTGCTGGACTTACACTCCCAAGTCAACTCACCTGTCCGGCCCCCTGGAAGGTGGTTTTCCTCTACGAACCAGTGGTTTTCAGGGTCCATGTTAGTCTTCCAGAGTGTACTCATCGAGTCTCGGGCTCCGGGCAGTGGAGCCTGTGGTGCCAACCGTAAGCTTGCCTGGGAGGCGAGTTGGGTGGACGGGGAGTCAGCTGTGCACGAGGGGTGTCTTTCCTGCTTTTGAGACCTTTATACCTAGACAGCTCAATGCTGAAGATATGCAATGATCATCAAGTTCAATTTATCATGTATCATTCGTTCAAAGAGTCTGAGAGAGAGAGAGAGGGAAAAAAAAGGGACAAAGACTCTCACATGGGCACCCAGGCCAGCAGCCGCTGAGCCAAGCGCTTCCCGGAATGGACTCGTTTTTGGAGGGGGTTCTTTCGGCCATGCCCTGAATTGGCACGTGTGGGATGCCGACATGACCGTCAGACGGGGCTGCAGCTCAGCTGTCTGTGGACGGAGTCCGAGCTATTTCTAGAATCCTCAGAAGCTGTTTCCTCAAAAATGCTGAAATCCACCCCTCACCTGATCAGATCTGGCCTCTCGCCTGGTCATGGATAGGAATGGAGGGGGTGACGACCCCTCAGGGACAGCCAAGTCCCTTCCTCCAGTGAAGCTGGCAACGTCTAATGTCGAGTGAAGATCTGTTATCCCTAGGGCTCCTGGCCCACCTCAGAAGGTAGTTAGACCCCCTACTCCACCCCAACCACCTTCTCAGGAAGTAGTTCAAGCCGTAGGGTACTTTGTACGGTATATGTCGAAGATCGGATGTTGGACCTGAACACCTTGGATAGCCTTGTCGATGGCCTGAACATGACCTCCCCAACGACGACCAAGGCCGGTGCCCGAAAGCGGGGCACTTCGTCCTTCAACCTCGGTGGCCATCGTGCAGCTCCCGTCAGCCTTGTAGCGTCCTAGTAGCGATGCCAGGAGCCCCGAACGTAGCGTCCTTGCTCCGTTCGTAGTACGGCCAGGAGCTCCTAGTAGCTTCTGGTTACTAGTAGCAAGAACAACTCAAAAGGGACAAGTTCTGGCTTCAGTGCAGCTTGCTGCAGCTATGACAATTTAAGACACACACGAAGATGGACACCTTGCATGCTGCATGTCTATCCTTGTCCCTGCCGAAGAGTCTCAACTCAAACTCACCCACTATTGTCTGGGTGTTTAGCTTTTGACCCATCCGCCCACTACTGCGTTCGGGGGGGCATCACTCTGTTGGTCCATCACCCTCCGAATCGAAGTCTTGAGAAAAATTGACCTTAAGCCTTTTAGATGGCCTTAGGCCTCCTAGGACCCCCATTTGAACCATCTGGGGCCCCGTGCTCTCCAAACTTCTTGCATGCTGTGCGGTCATCGATCTTACCTGCCATGCGCGTCGGCTTCTCGGTCGCCGACCCGCGTCCGTTGCTTCTCGGTTCCAAAGAGTCCAGGCAAACGAAGGCCAAAAGGACAGGAAGGGAGTGGGACATCGTCTAACTCCCTAGCGCTGACCTAGACCTAGATGGCGGCAATGACCATCTTGCAGAACGAAACGATGTTTGGTCCCCCAAGTCACCGCCGTGCTGTGCGTCCGTTGTTCTCGTTTGGCACCCGATTGGAAGCCCGGTTTGAGCGAAGCCGGAAAAGAACGAACACGAAGCCGAAGATGAAACCTGGACCAGAAACCCCCTTAAGCTATCCCTTTGTTTGGAGTATGATGCGCCAAAAAAAGACAAACAAGACCGGATGTCCCTTAATCTTAATTCGCCTCCGTATACGCCAAGGGGCGATCGTTTCCAACAACAACAAAAAGGCTCTGGTCTGGAAGTCTGCACCGAGTGACGGCCGAGGGTGGAAACACCATGCCCAATCCCTGAAAAGTGGCTATTCTGCTGCTCTGAAGCACTGGAACGCCATAGAACGCCTGCCTTCTGTCTGTTTGGGTGGCTCCCTTCTGGATGAAACATTCCTTTTATCCTGCTAGGGGTGAACCCTTGAAAACGCATGATGAAAGAGATGAGCCAAGAGTAGCAGGCTATAAGTTTGGAGGGTCTTCAGAAGGGATGCGTCAACAGACTGACCCTCTGTTGACGCACACAGCCACACCTTCTTATCAGAGGCAAAATGGTTCTGATGGAGAATGGTCACCCCTTAACCTCTAAGGGGCTGCTAATACACCGGACTGAGGGGACTCTGGTATGTATCCGTGTCCGAATCAAGCATAGATCGATGCTCTACTCCTGATTCTAGATCAGTCTCACCACCGCGCAGGTGGTCTTTTTCACCGTTCACTCCACGCAGGAGCAGATTGCCCTCATCGCTCTGTCCAACTTGTCGACCTTTGGTCGACTTGAACAGTTTCTGGGACTTGGACTCGACTTGACCGATGCCATCGGATTTTGGTTCCTAACGGGGCGGTCCATCGAACCATGCAGACGAAGAAAACAAACAAATAAATATATTATATGAATGTCAAGGGAACACAAATATGCAAAACAACTTGCGAAAACATGGCAAAACCATTTCACGAGAGAGGTCTTCCAAAATCCAATGACCCAATGTGCACCTTCTGACCCATTCACCAAGCCATGGACCACCCATCTACTGCGACACTCCGTCCTTGGTGCTGGCGAAACGAGCGAACGAACGAGCGATAACGCGCCGCGCCAAAGGGGTCCAAAATGGTCGGTCAGATCACTGAAAATCAGAAGTCGACTTGTCGACCCCCAGCCCTCTCAGCGATCGTCTGGTTGTATAACAACTACCCTTCCAACTTCCTCTGACTCTATAAATGACTCCCCAGCCAATCGAGTCCCTATAGACTAATTCCTAGAGAAATTCGAATCAATTGGGTGCCCAAATGCACCAATAGAAGGATTCAAAGCTCAAAATGGGCTGGTTTGGGGGTTAACAGTTCAATTCTCCTGATCTTCCTGTTTGGATAGTCAAACTGGAGTACTCATGCTGTACATCCGAAAATGGGTCTGTCTTTTCATGACCCGAACTGGGACAGGGCTTCTGATTTCATGGATCAGACCTGCAGTGGGATGGTCTCAGATGGGTCGGTTCACACCGAAAAAAGAAGGCCTCAAAACCTAGCGACGGGTCGACCTGTCTCGAACGTCCTGAAGAACCAAATGTAACATTAACATGACACAACTGTCCAACAAAAAAGGGTCATAGGCACCGGTCACTACTCCCACCCAGCTGCCCAGCCTCACCAACCCCCAAACAGAAAACATCGACATGGGAGCTGATGCGTGAGAGCTTTGGAGACATGGCGTCGGGCAAAACAAAGTGCGGGACTCTGTGTGCAAGTTGGTTTTGGTAGATGAACGATCTCTAGCAGGCAAGGGCTGGTTATCGACTGGCAAGTCACGTAAACACATGGTCAAAGGGGTCATGTAGAACCACCTGGCCTATATAACAGGGTTGGTGCTGGTCAATACTGGTTACATCATGTCACATCTCTTCTTGCAGTTTCCAAATGGATAGCTGTGGCCCAGTCACGTGACACGCTTCATCTTCCGCCAAGAATCAAATGCCGATCCCGCGTGCCACCTTCGCGTCGGTCTAGGCAGTGACGAGCACGCTCAGACCCGAGTCCCCCAGCGCCAAGCTCTTCAACGAACCGTCCATATCCAGACCTGAGGCAAAACCGGCTGAGGCATGGGGCGAGGCCAGATGATGGTCCTTTTTTCTTCGTGTCCTCACGACTTGGACGGTGAAATCCTGAAGGATTTCTGTATAAGTTGAACATCACGGGGTATCAAGAGGTGTCAAGTGTCAACCAAAAAAGTGTGAAGTGTTTTGTGATATGTTGTGCTTGGCAGATGTGGGAACCTTCCCCCCAATGATGTTCCTTTCCCATTCAAACCCTTTTGGCTTCGTGCCTGGGGCTTCGGGTGGTGGGCTGACGTCCGAAGACACCTGGAGACCCTCCCAGTTGGAGGGTGTTTGTTTCCTGGTGACCATTTCGGATCGGTGCCCAGGATTCAACCACCGGACTTGGTCGGGTCCAACCACCGGACTTGGGTCCTGGTTCTTCGACTCATTGATTGGAGTTCAACACCAAAAAAGCCTGGCTAGAGGTGTTCCATTCCATGTCTGGGAGGGGGACTTTGATGTATACCTTTGTATCGTGTTAATTATAGTTATATATATAATATAGAGATATATAGAGTCTATGAATGAAGGCTCCAGGACCATCCTTTTCTTCGCTCCAGTTGCTTTCGTAACTCACCTCTCACCTCTCAGGTCCGAAAGGGAGAAACCGACGAAGCCTTCGCTGGAAGAACGACCAGGAGCTCCGTTCCGAAGCTTTCGATTCATTCGGACTGTGCCAGCCATGGACTGGGGTAGACGGTCCCACCCGAGCCTCCCTGTGCACTGATGGCCGTTGCTTTGGTTTTGGAAATCATGGCACGAAACTCCTGGGTGTCCCTGTAAAAGGGGCCACGAAACCCCACGAAACACCCAGCGCGAAACGAAGCCGGGTCTCATACCTCGTACCTGTTTCTACTAATTAGGGTCATGTGACTCATGTGTGTCATGTGCCATCTTCTGGGTACGAACTAGAGGGTGACGATCGTCTGCCCTAAGAATCCTGGGACTCAACACCTTCGCAGGGGTCAACCCCCCGTATTATATGCCACGCTTGCCGTTTTTTCGGGCCCAGATTCTTAGCGTGGTGAGAATGCTTATCGTCTTGGTGCATGGTCAACTGATCAAGAAAACACTCTGTATGGCAGTACCTGCTGGCCTTGTGTGAAGCAGCACTGGCCTTGTCCCTGACTTCGATGGGATGCGGATTGCATCATATTCTATTGTTTACCACGGAAGGTGGTTTTAGTGGAGAATCTTCAGTAACATGGAACTGGAAGCAAATGGCATCTAGAAAAAAAAACAGATCGCGGAAGTGCTTGGGAGGATGGGACGTGGATGGCATCATATCACCACTGATTTCTGCCCAGCCACAGATGCGGTAGCTCTGGCCCACTGTGAGCTGCGACGCATCAATGGCCTGATTGGAGTCCGCAGCACTGTGTTCGACCGAACAAATGGTGTTGCGTGGACTTTGGTGAGGCTCACCCAAATACTCTATATATATATATATATGTGCAATATAGATTCTTAGATAATATGATACATGCTGCATATATATATATATATATGTATATACATAGGCCCTCGAGTTCGTACCCTAGAAAAGGGAGCATGACCCTCCAAGAAAAGCTGGTGCGACCGTACCCACTTAGCAGGTCTGTACGAGCAGGTCGACTCCAGGCCCCAGGTATATGCCCCTTTGAAACCACAGCAAGGTGGGTCAATATATGGATGTGTAATAGGGAGACTGCCTGACCCAATGGGTTTTGGTCTATTTCCCCTTTTCCAGGAGGTCGTTGCCTGGGAGGTCTCCTTCAATACACAACCATATGCTAGTTTCATGGAGTGTTTGGCTCAGTGACCCAATCAGCACACTTGCCAGTCCCATCTCTCACCAGGCCCGGATTTTGCGGAGCATCGATAGGGCTCTTTGCATGCAGTCACTCATGGGCGTTCAACGAAACCAGGTAAAAACCAGCGGAGGTTGAAGGCAACTCATTGACGATACCGTTTGAACATCTTGTGGAATTGTCTTGAAGAACACCTTGATTCTCTACCAGTTTCTTCCAGGCACAAACGGAGATAGACTGGACTCAATCAGACTTTGACTATGACATGTCAGTTGCTTCTTAGAGCAGTGCCATGTCACAAAACCCTTTGAAGGCCATTGAAGGCCCAGTTTGAGGTCACTTATTCTGGAAAAACAGTCACTTGCAAACTGTTGCCAACCCCAGGGTACCGAGGTTCTTTCCTTATTCCTCCACATCTTCTGACCAGATTATATCTGAGACTGGAGGAAGGATGCTCGTGATGTTAAGACTCCGGATGGTCTGAATGGTCTTAACTTCATGAGATCATTCTCTATAAGATCAACAGCCTCAAAACAAAGAGATGTTTACTAACCTCGAAGTCGGTAGCCTCAAAAACATCCAATTCCAGTGGAGGGTGCCTGCCTTCTCCACCTCTTCACCAGTCTGGAAGGAACCAAAAACATCCACTCTCCGGGACCCTCCCCATCTCACCATCCCGCAGACTGCGCTCCACTCCTTTCGTACCGACGCGCGGAAGTTCCCGCTCGGGCCCGCACTGCGGAGTACCACCCGTTGGGCTGTGCCAGTTGGTTGACAGGATCCACCCGGATCGGGACAGCGGCCGTGGAGCGCAAAGCGACCGCCCTGGAAGCGAAGCAGATGGCAGGGAAGCAAGGAGCTCTGTCCTTGAGGGAATGGAGGAGAAACCTCTTCGTACCTCAGAGAATGGGTACATTTGTATACCCCAGGGAATCCAGTTACCACTATAGCTGGTAACCAGTGGTTCCAAAGACTAAAACCATAAGACTTAGAATCCCTGGTTCCTTCATGTTCCTTCTATATAGTTGTAACTGGGATCCACTGGGTATTTGTTTTGTACCCGGGTCATATCCTGTTTTCGGTGCTGGAACCGGTCCAGGTATCTAACTGGAGGGTCCCGTTGGAGGTGGGACCAGTGGGACAGGAAGTTCTAGGATGTTCTATATAGGGAATACGGAATCTAAGGTGTTTTGAAGAACCGCCCTTGCGAAAGGCCCTGGACGGGATGGTCTAATTATGGTAGAAAACAAATGACCTGAGCTCGAACTTGCACCAGTATTTTATAGTATCTTTATGTCAGTTGTAGGTTTAACGGTTTAACCTGGTCCTTTTTTAAGCGTCGGTGGTCTGAGCCGAAGGGGCAGTATGGGATAGGCTGTCATGCTCCAAAAAACTCCGTTCTTTAGGTGTTTTCGGATAATTTCGGATCATGGCCTCTTCAAAAGGATGAGGATCGTGAACAAATGAAGCGGTTTTGACGGAAGTGTTCAAACTTTCTCACGAACGGGCGGGCAAAGTAGGGGTGACCTGACCCCGATGCAACGTGCTACTGTTGTTGCTTTAGTTGTCGAAAAGTAAAGGTTGAGTTGAGATCTACAATCTACAACCACGTCTATTGAAACATGGACAAGTAAAATTTAAATGAAGAACACCACCACTCAAACGACGTGCTCTTCAACTTCTGCGTTCATTTCCGGTTGAAGATCTCTCTCCATCCGTCTCTGGTGCAACGGCAAACCCCGCCCCCAAGGCGTGCACCGAACTCCTTCTGGATGGACCAGGAAACCCCGGCGGTGGATTTCGTGTGGATACGGAATATTCTTCGGCACACCAAAACACACCAAAGGGTTCAATGATCATTGACGGTGACACTTGGCTGTGTGATTGGGCGTGTGTCCATTCAAACTCCAGTCCTGGTGCAGCGGCAACAAAACATTTTCTTAGCATCACATCCAGCTGGGTTCCCAACCCCTAAAACAACCAGCGCCTCCCCCCCGAGCGAACCAAACATCAAAAGCCATCAGAAAAGGTACCACAACATAGATCACCATCGAAAACTACGCACCCCGTTGCCTCATCAATGAAGGGCACTCAAAAAGTGACGCAAGGACCAAGGCAACCGGACTAGGAGACCTAGAGACCAGCGGATCAAAGGACGACTAGGAGACCAAGGGACTAGGGGCCCAGCGGACCAGGACACCGAAGGACCAGAAGACCAGTGGACTAGCAGACCAAGGGCCTAGGGGACCACTAGAATCGAAGACTGGATGCTTTACTTTTCGTCTTTTTGATCCTGTTCTTTCGTTTCTTTGAATCCTTTACATGTTTGCTTTGTGATCCAGATGCCTGCCTTGCGCTCGCCTCTGCATCTTCCAAAGTCTTACCAGTGTGCTACAATGGAATGGTTTCTGCGCTCTCTAAATTTTGCCGTGGGCTGGCTCAGAAAAGGTCTGCTACGTGGGACTGGCCAATGCCTCCTCTAAATCTTACATTAAATTAAGCTGCTACAGTGCAATGGCATCTACCGCTAAGTTACTCACGACACCACGGTTTCCTTTCTTCATCCCTTCTCTCTTTCCTTCCCACAGCTAGGCCTGCAAAATAAATATACTATATATTGCCACTAAGAAGAATGTTATTCTAAAATATGTCCCCCATATCAGTGAATGAAGCCACGAAAACCCAACAGAAGCCAACCGAAGCCACGAAAAGCCTACACAAGCCACCGGAAGCCAAAAGCCGAGGGCCACCAAAAGCCAAAAGCCACCAAAAGCCAACAGAAAGCTAGCACACCACAAACGGTTAAAAAAAAATCACAAGAAAAAAATGACGGACAAATCCATGAACTCGCTCTTTGACTGCCGCTCCACGTGCTTGCACAGACACCTTGTCACCTGGTCATCCACTGCTGCAACCACACCCACGAGAGCTGCTACAGAAGTTCTAATACATCAGCTCGAGTGTCGAAGGGCTTGGAGAGCTTCCCTTATCGCCCAGGCAAAGTGCCCCCTGTCTGTTCGCAACTTATGTCGTTTTCCACTGTGCTTCAATCGTTTCACTCCAAGCTCTCGTGTAAAATGTACAGAGCAACAAGCAACACGTCAAGCATCCAGCATATCGACGCTCGACTTGATCCACGCATGGTGAATGGGACATCTGCCACATTGTTGAGAGCACAGAATGAAGCACCACACAGCTTCTGCAAAGCCACTGCGGCTCCTGCTTCACCGGACACTTCATTCGAATTGCTTTCTCCACCAGCAGCGTCGCTGCGGGCCGAGCGGGAACTTCATCCACTTCCGCCAGCACCGCAGCCATAGCACCAGTGGCCATTCTGGACTCCGTGCCTTTTGGCAGATGTTCCGACCATGCTTAAGGGTATCATTGAGGATCAAAACCATCGCTCTTGACTCGTTGCAGAGTTTCATCGCCTGCTGCGCGCAAGGCAACAAGACCAATGACCAACAACAGCAGCAACAACAAAAAGCATAACAAGAACAGAAACAACGACAGCACTAACAACAACAGCAACAGAAACAACAAACAACAACCTGAGAAGCTGCAAAACGAAAGCCAGCGCTTCCCTTTCTCGACAACTGCGCGTCGAAGCAAGCAAATGAGCTCGCGCAGCTGCTTGCGGCCGTGTGTCAAATCTGCTTCATGTCTTGTTCTGCCCACACAGAGGTAACCATGTCAAAACAAAAACCTGCGCCTCCTGGCAATTGAGGGATTCGGTGTCATTTTGCCCGGAAATTTCCTCTGCACAGGGGGGGGGGGTTTGGATGGAATCCGATGTTATTTCCACTGTCTGTGCAGTTGTTTTTTGTGCTTTGCCAAGTGCGGATGGTACACTGCATCCACTGTGTTGCACATCAAGAGCACCCCAGCTTGCTTTACTCATTGTCCATTGCTTGATTCCTTGATCCAAAAAAGAAACACCTCTGAAACACTGAGCTGAAATGGACTGAACGTCAAATGTAACATGCTTGGAGCAAAGGTCAAGAGTTACAGGAACTACAATTTTGGTTTGAATTAGTTTCAAAAATGTCCGGTTGGACATGGAATGGGAGGTCTCACTGTGGGAAGTGCAGCATGGCCACATGAACGTTGCTTTACAGGTTGACACTGGATCTGATCCACTAAGGTTGAGCATGACCCTACCTATGGTCTGGTTTTCACCAACTGTTGCTGGGTGCTCGATAATTGACATCACCGGTTCATCATTGCACCCACAAGTGTGATAGACCTTCAGAAATGGCCAGTGAGCAATGGAGATACCAAAAAGTCCAAGGGGTACACTGTGTACACCGATTGAACTAATCATAGAAGTGGAAAACCACCTGTTGGGGCTATGCCATCCACTTCTATGCTTATTTCGGGGAGTGTGCACCTAGACATACCGCCTATAAACCCTAAGGGTTGGATAATGGAAACATATTGCATATGGACCCTTGACTGACCTTCCAAATCCTCACCTGAGTCCCCTTCAGGTGTCCACAGTCGACCACTCTGGTGCAAGCAGAAGCATGCCCACAAGATTGAATCCAGCCCTTGAACGTGCCCAAAACTAAGGTCAGGCAGGTGGCTTATTTAGTTTAGTTTTAATCCTATAGTCGTTTGCATGTTGCTCTGAAGCTAGCCTGGGTCCGTATAAATACTATGTTGCTATACCTCTTACACACCTACACAAGTTCAAAGCACGAATGAGACTTCAAAGCTGTGGATTGCTGCGCGTGTGTAGAGGCTATCGAGCGGTTGACGGAAAGGGAACTTGAAGTACTATACCTGGTAGCTGCAAGCAAGGTGCCAAATACACCTCTATTTTCAAGGTGGCCTGAACAGAGTGTTTCAGGGCAGCAAACCGTGGTCTCAGGCCACCTTGAATTTAGCTTGAAAACCACAGCTACATAGCTACCCTGGGTCTCTATACCTGGCAAGGTGCCAACTACACCTTTATTTTCAAGGTGGCCTG